ACTATTTTCTGCAGATGCAATAGAGGCGGTGAAGAAAGTCTTCTTCGCCGTCGCTATCGCCACTTGGTAGGCTCGACGTTGAGCTCTAACCTGTGTCCAGTCAGATTCGGAGTGAGTTTTCTGCCACCGACGCTCTAGCCGTCTCAGCGATTGTTTCATTGCCCTCAGCTCCGAAGAAAACCACGGGGCTGTCCGGGCTCCATGCAATCGGAGAGGGCGCTTCGGAGCCAGACAGTCGATAGCCCTGGTTAACTCCGCATTCCAGCGGGCCACCAGGGAATCAGCTGAAAGGCCATCAACATGGGCTAAAGCATCCCCTACCACTCTCTGGAAACCATTTGGATCCATTAAGTGGCGGGGGCGGACCATCCGAATTGGTCCCACCTCCCTGCAGAGGGGAGGGTCGCGGAGAAGTCCAGTTGCACCAGGAAGTGATCTGACCATGGCACTTCTTTTGTTTCACTTTTACTTAGTGTCAGATCACCCACGTCACTAGAGGTGAACACCAGGTCTAAGGCATGTCCATGACTATGAGTTGGGCCAAACTTATTCAGGGACAGCCCCATGGAGGCCATGCTTTCCACGAAGTCCCGAGTGGCCCCTTGTAAGGTCGTGTCGGCATGGATGTTAAAATCCCCTAGGACAACCAAACTAGGTGTCTCCAGGAGAAAATCCGCCACGACCTGAAGCAGCTCGGACAGGGAATCCTTGGTGCAGCAGGGAGGTCGGTACACCAAAAGGAATCCTGTACTGCCCCTATTGCCCAACTTCCAGAACATGCACTCAGAGAACTGGATCTTCCCAGTAGGACGCCAGTGGAACTTACTCCCAGTTGATTGTGTATAAAATGCAGCTCAGTAAATCAGCCCTGATCTCCATGGGACATTCACTTGTACTTGATGCTATAGGTAATGCCATCTTAGAAACAATGCAAGGTAACTGTTTTTACAGATAATTATTGCAAAGACTCAAGATGAAAGCTGGGGGGGTGGAGAGAAAGAGAGGGAGGGGAAGAGAGGGAGAGAGAGAGAGAGAGAGACTCATTCTTCTCTACCATTTCAAATGCACTGCCAAACACTACTTGAAATCCAGAAACTCTAGGGAAGGACTACAGCTACAGCAGGAGATGGAGATGAAATCCTGATAAGTCAGTGTGGACAATATGGAGGGCAGATGGACCTGACTTAGAACAAGCAGTTTCCAGTTTGAAATAATAGGAAGTTTCTCAGTGAGCAGACAAATCAGGAAATAGCTAAAAAGTCATCCTGGCCACAATGTCACATCTGAAGCAATCAAAATACAACCCTATTGCATGCACACACATTTGCACTTTGAGGCCCCCAAGCCCTTCCCCTGTAAATAACTTCACACTGACACATAAATTTTTGTTTAAGTTATTGGACAAAATTTAGGCCACAACTTTATTGATTACAAAACAAATTGAGCGGTATTGGCCTAGGCATTGGTCAGAGACTATAACTGACTCCTGCCTCTCTGGCTGGCAGTCTGAAAGGGTAAACACCAAACGAGGGAGCAACATCGATGAAGATCAACTGAAGCTCACCCCGGGGTTCCTGTGGTCCTGGCATGGCCCTAGCCCCTCAAGCAGACTTCGGACAAGATCCAGGACTCCCATATTCCTTTACCGGAATACCCTATTTCTGGAGGGGCAGGTGATGGCCGCACCTCCCCACCCACACACTTCAATAAGCCAATGCCTAACCACCAAACCTTACAAAGTAGTGACGATTGCTAAGGGGGTGGGCGAAAACCATGTTGCTACAGCCAATCTGCCAAATGGAAAAATTCCTACCCAGCCCCTGCTCCAAAGCAGGCGACCCAATCCAAAGCAAGGCCAAAGCAGCACGACCTAAAGTAAGGGAGGGAGGGTGGGTGGGTGTTCGGCAACACAAAGCAAGTGCCCCCAATCGCGTCGCGCTGCCACTTTTATAGGCCCCAGGAATCACGCTGCTCTCCCCGATTGGCCAAAACAGCCTGGTGGCTTGGGCCACCCACCCTGCGGGAGTGTCCTGGGTCTCTAAAAGAGAAATATACCACCTCTACATCTTACCATGGACTCATTCATTGCTGCTACATCTGATCTCGAGTTCTTTCCAGAATTCTTAAGTGAATGCTTATATGCTTTGAAAGAAGGCTGAATTTCAGCAAGAGCAGGAAGTAAAATAACTCTGTCAACATTAGAAATTTTCTGACAGCTCTATTTATAGTGCACTCAAAGCATTCCATCTTAGTACAATACCAAGAAGTACTAGAATATAGGCTGCAATCGTGTGCTCTAGGATCTTCCTAGAAAATCCCAATTAAAGATGGGCTTCTGAATAACCATGAATGGAATTTTCCTGCTTGAAGAGGGTCCAGTAATATGACCCATTAAGACAAGAACTTTCCTGTTTTTGCCAATGGAGAAAGAAAAAAAATCATTTTAGTGGCGGATTTAGATCACAGTAGAACAAAGGGGGGGTGACCAGAAAAGCAGTTAGGAAGAAGTCAGTTCAATTTTGCTGCCCTATTCCATTGCTAGAAGTGGCTTTTCTAGTGTGAAGTCAGGACTGATGGTTTAGTTCAGTCCTATGTGGTGCATAGATGATATGCTAAAGATCATATAGATAAGATAGCATTTCTGGTCAACCTGAGAAGTCATAAAGGAATATGCAAATGATCTCAGCTATGTTGGCCTAAACTTTTAAAGATTTTATTAGACACTACTTAGACCTTGACTTCACCCCAGAAGTCAAAAGGAACCCAGTGCAGACACTGGATTGTTGGGAAAGGAAGTCTTCACAAACTGTAGTGTCCAGGGACTATGACTCAAGCAAACACACTATACCTAGGTTATCAAGAGGTTCCTATTTGCGGCAAGTTTAGGGATCAACAGTGTGACTCATTAGCCTGCTTGCGCTATTGGTGCTTGTTGAATAATGAGTCCCTGGTATGAAGAAAGGGACAGTTGCCAGTGCTCAAGGCTCAATTCTGGGAATCTTGAAGAAGATAAATCATATGCAAGAAGTAGAAAACTCTAAATAAGAATGTGCCCATTGAATAACAGTTTGTTCTTTCCTATAGTTCCCCTGAATTATCATCTGTACCAGAACATTGACTGTGAGAGGTAGACATGGCTGTGTGTATGGATAGAAAAATGGGGGTGGTGGAGTGCTCATGAAAGGGAACCAAACATAAAAATACCTGTTTATGTAAATATATGAAACAAAACAGCCTTAGCTGGATATATAAATAAGTGTATCACCAAACTGAATGTGTTTAATTATAGAGCAAAATTACTATAAAAGTTCTGAAAAGATCTGATCTGAAAATAATAATTACACAAATTATAGAGGAAATTGTGTGAGGATAAGCTTGCTCATATCCTTCTACTTAAAAATAAAGAAGATTTACATTTTAATTCTCATGAAGAGGAGTATGCAGGTTTCAAAGCAAAAAGGTTAACAGAAAAGAGCTTTGTTAGGAGCAATGATTCAAAGAGGGATGAGAGTTGTAGCCTCACACTTCATTGTACATGGCTAAAAATATATTCAGGGTGTTCAAACTGGAATGAGACAAAACGTTCTGTTTGTATGTGGGTGACATGGTTCGGATGATCTTTAGCTTTCATTATAAAAAAACTATGGTGGTTTTGCAGATGTTTAGTAAGATTTCAGCCAACAAAGTAAATCATTGGCACCAAATACAGAACTAAAAGTTGTTGAACATACAGAAAATGGAAGAAGAGGTGCTAGAAGACTGGAACCAGCATTGGTTAGGCTGCAATTTTAGCCCCCCCTTACCTGGGAATAAACTGCACTGAATTCAATTGGATTTATTTCTGAGTATACATGGTTATGATTGCAATGAAGAATATGGCCTAAGTTAATGAACTCTTTTAACTCTCTGATTGTTAGCATGCATCAGGTGAGAATATGGGCTCAAAGCTTTCAGTCATGATTAGGGATGGGTGCTTCATATTGTGTGTTTGTTTATTCATTAATAAATTTGTATATTGTCCTTCATCTGAAGATCACAAGGTAGTTCACAACATAAAAATACAAAATGAAAACACAAAATACATAATAAAAACAAGAACAAACCAATAACCCCCTCCCACAAACACATTTAAAAGAATGTTGCATGTTAATCAGGAAAAGGCTGGGTTAAAGAGAAATGTTTTCATTTGGTGCTTAAAGATATGTAATGAAGGCACCAGGTGAGCCTTCCTGAGGAAAGCGTTCCACAAATGGGGAGCCACTGCAGAAAAGGCCTTTTCTCACTTTGCTGCCCTCTAGACCTCTTGTGGAAAAGGGCCTCAGATGATTATTGTAGGGTCTGGGTCAGTTATCATCTTTCTTTTCTCGGCCAGTCTATTGAAAACTCCTACACTTAAGCACGATGCAAGCTAGTATGGATAGGTTTTAACTAAACTTTAAGAAAGCTGGAGTTACTCATAATTCAGAGGCATGTTAAAAGTGGGTGATTATCTTCACCCAACATTATAAGATATCATCTAGTGGCACTTCTGAATTCTTTGAAGCAATGAATATAAAAATCTAGTTGACATTACCTTTTTAAAAAAATACCAAGCACCGAGCAGAGTTTCTATTAACTAAATGGATGTGGCTCTCAAAAGTAAATTCGAGGACCATTCAAGAAAGTGAGACATGATCTGCCATTATTTCTGTATGAGATAGGCTTAAAGGGATGTTAGCACCGCCTATTTCTCCTTTAACATCATATATTAATTGTAACAATTTAGGTGGGAGGTAGATTAGGCAATTTTGAGATTTCACTGGGCCATGTGTCTAATGTTTTTTAAAGAATGGAAATAAATATTGTAAGTTACAGAACTGCTACAAAGAGGATTTAATTCCCCCCCCCCTAAAAAAGAGATATTTGTATAAAATGCAGAAATGTTCAAGTTTTGAGCTTCTTCTAAATTGGAAGAATTACTTCTCTTAAATAAACACAGATAGAACTTAGGTAGGTAGCCGTGCTGGTCTGACGCAGTCAAAATAAATAAATAAAAATTAAATTGTCCAGTAGCACCTTAGTAGGTCTCTCAGGTGCTACTGGACAATTTTTTGATTTTATTTATTTATTTTGACAGAAATAACTTCTTTCTGAACTGTATAAAATATTTGATAAAATCCAGCAGTATGATGATAAAATCTGAAGCTGGGTGGAGCAGGCAGGAAGTGTTTCCAATTGTAACCAAAGTAAATCAGTGGAATCTTATATGTGCCGAGGAATCCAGATACATACAAGAGGGTGCTACACAATTGATCAGAAAATGAATGGAGGTCTACTGGAGGTGTGCTCTAGGAATATGGGGGAGATTTTAAACATGGTTGTTGGATATATAAAGATAGACATGTTTAGATGGGATTTTACAAATTAATGAAATAACCAGCAGCATCATGTGACTGGGTTAGGGTGGTAGTGGATTCCTCATGGTAGCAGTACTGCTGTTTGCAGTATAGGATTGATGAGGCGGCAGCCAGGATGAGGGAGCTCTGGGCTGGTGCTGGTGGTCCTGCAGGAGTCTGGCCCTGTAAGCATATCAGTAGTTGCAGCACCATGGAGAGCTCCTACTGAACAACATGCTACAGGCCCCACTGAAAGTGAGCAGAGGCCTTTTGAGCCTCAGCTTCCAGTCCATCTTTCCTAGGCTGTGCTCCTTATGGCAAACCAAGAGTCTCTTAAAGAGTGCCCAACCTACTGGTCTGAAGGCAGGCACTCCTCCTGTGCCCCATGGCCTCCTGCCTGATACACTCTTTCCACCATTGGACTAGCAAGGTACAGTGGGCATATTGTTCATCAGGGTAAGCTACCCATAAGGATCCTGGTGCTATTTCTATGGGCCCTGATGTATGGCATCTGGTTAAGGGGACTCCTACTTGTCAGCCCCAGGTTCAGGGGTTTCCTGGTTAACATCATCAGGTACTAAGTCAGGAACCTGGTCTAGCTCCTTAGGTACAGCACTGTAGCCTCTGACTCAATATCCCCATTGCTGCTGGGCTCTGGGCTCCTCCTGTTATCTTCTCCTCTGTTTCATTTAGTGTAAAAATTCCTTGGCCGCAAGGACTTGTTGTCTTCTTCTTTTTACTGAATCCCTGCAAAGCACTGTGCATTCTTGATGGTACTGTTTAAACTTTAAATAAATGATAATACTGAATCAGCACTACAGCAATTACCAAATCTGACGAACCAGACATGAAAAAAAGAATCATGTTGGTCGAGCAATAGAATTTTGCATTCTGAGTGCTGGGAAAATACATTTTTTTGAAGCTGAAGCCCTAAAGGGAAGAAAGATTTCTGGATCCCACATAACAACCCAGCAGTGTTCCCTCCCCAAATAGCAAGAAGGAGACAGCTACATTAGCGCTATTTAGTCTCCAGGCTACAAATACTCTTTTCATCAAAGCTTTTAATGGTTCTAATGGTTTATTATGAGCTGCTGTGACAATTTAAGGATATTGGCTGGTTTACTTTTTTTTTTTCATATTGCTGCTCTCTTCATTTTGTTGTTTTAGGATTTTGTAAGCTAGTGCTCTATGAATGTTATTGTTGACATGGTCTTTGTAGGCTTATAAATAAATAAAACAGCAGTTATTACACAACCTCCATCCCACATGTATGTGTGTGCATGCACACACACCACATGCCATTTGAATAGGCAGTTTTAAGAAGGGAAGAGCCTGCTGGATCAGGCCAATGGCACATCCTGTTCTCGCAGTGGCCAATCCGATGCCTGTAGGAAGCCTGAAGGCAGGACTTGAGCACAGGAGCACTCTCCCCACTTGTGGTTTCCAGGAACCGGTAGTCAGAAGGATAGTGCCTCTGACCACAGAGACAAAGGCTAGTAGTCACAGTTTTAGCATTTCACATGGCATGATGCAAGAGCAGCCACTGATTCTCTGTCCTCAAGTTCAAATGCACAACTGAAAGTCCTCCTCCACATCATCATCTTTCTTACCTTGCAACATCCAGGTTTCCTTGGGAAACACTCCATTCCCATGATGGGGAAATCGGAATTTGTTCTGTTTTGAAAGAGCTGATGAGATCACAGCACAGTGGTAGCACATAATATGACTGTGAATTTTGGGAGATGGGAAAGCTTCGGGAGCTATTTTAATTGAAGATTCAGTGCAGACTTGATGTGCTGAGGACTGGAAGTTCCCATCTTTAGTTCCCATCTCTCACACGTATGCATTTTCTTAACGCACGCAGCCACCCTCAACGGTGCATATCAGGCTCTGTTTCTTTCCACATGCTGTTTTCGAAACATTCTTTCCACAAATGTGACTTCCTATCAGAGGCTAGTACCATAGTCCAAGGTCACTTGTATTGGACACGGGAGAAGAGTTGGCTCAACAGATACTGAAGCTAGAGGCAAAGAGACAATGTTTTCCGCCCCCAAATTAATAAAGGAACTGTTGAGGGGGAGTCGGGGGTGGGGGGGTTAGAGAGCTAATACAGGACCCAAGAGAAAGTATGTGAACTTTAATCTTACTTTTTAAAAACAAATCACTTGCAGATGATAGCAAACGTGAAGCAACAGAAAGAATGTCTGCCAAAAAAATAAACAAAAAAGCATTCGCACAAAATGTTGAGGTTTAGTGCACAAGGAAAAATAATAATATTGAGTGCTCTTGCAAATACACAAATACAAAATATGGCACCCAAGGAGGAAATGATTCGCTTCTCTCAACAGTGATTCCCGTACTTGGACTACTGGGCTTGCTTCCAGCTGCAGTAATAGCCCACTGTATCATACCGTGAGACATAGCCAAGATGTATTTAGAGGCCTAGACAGAGTTGACCAACCTAGGTCTGTGGTTTTTTGACCAAATAAAGCCTGAAGGAAGGGGAAGGAACAAGAAGTATAGGCAAAAGTTTCTCAGCCTTAGAGAGTCAAAATCAATGTGTTGTGAAATGCATATTGACATACTGAAATGCAGTTTTTTAAAATGTAAAGAGCATCAGCTAGAGTGGGGGCTAGTCATTAACAGGACTTCAGTAGGCATGGGGGATATCTGAACTGTTCCCTCCCCGGCTACAGCTCTAAAGAAAATTCCTCCTCTGAAGGGATTGGCATTAGAAGCAATGTTTTGGAGGAACAGATGTGGCTCAGAAATAAAAAACTGGCTGCAGCCCTGCCACACGTGAGCGCCCAGGCAAAATGCGGGATGAGCAGGCAGGTCGGATCAGGCCCAACGGCATCACCTGGAGGCAGTGGGGTTGGCTCAGGATCCAGTAGATTCCAGGCCAGCTCAGCTCCTAGCTGCCCTTGGAACGCTTCATTTCAGGACTTTATGTTGGCGATCCCATGGGTGACACTTCTACTCACATGAACATTTGGCACATTTAACTTTTCAAGTAGTTTAACTTTTAGTAAACCTCTGAAAATCATGAAAACAAACTCCAGAATTTGAGGAGGTGGGACACTGGGATGAATAAACAGTAGGGATAAATATATGTATAAAAAGTGAGATTTGGGAAACCATTTGCCCTGGACACTGGAAAGCCCCACGTAGCTCTGGTCTGGGAAGAGGTGAACTGAGGGCCAGATTTGGGGACAGGAAAGAGATTTCCTTAAAAAAATATGTTTGTCTCACACCTTTCCACCACTACCCTACCCATGGGAATAAATAACTTATAGAATCATAGAATCATAGAGTTGGAAGAGACCACAAGGGCCATCGAGTCCAACCCCCTGCCAAGCAGGAAACACCATCAGAGCATCAACTTGCTGATTTGTGCGTGCACTCACACCCACGCTGAAAGTCAGAATTCTGATGATCAAGCAGGAACTATATTTTCCCCCCATTAGACACATTTTGTGTAGTGTGACTGCAGTCAGGGATAGTCTTATTCTTGTTCTTATTCTTTTATTAGAAAAAGAGTCCATCAAACCGTTCCACAAACAGGGGCTTGTCCTGGGCAGATACTGAGCCTCTCTTTTATTTAAAAATATTTTTTTTTTTTAAAAGCAATTTATTGGGTTTTACAATAAGAATAAACATGATAAACAATATAACATTTGTCTTAACATAGTTTCACATTTTCTTTGGACTTCCTCACATCTCCCGCTCCCACTTTCATCGTTATAACATTTTTCAGCAATTTATCATCTTATTTAAATTCTTATATCCCTTCTATATTTCATAATCTTGTAATTCTCAAAAGGAGTTAAGTTTTCACAATCTTGCTTGTTTTCTTAAAAGAAATCTAAATTTAGTGGTGTTCAGTTGTTTTAGTCTAGCATCTTATTTAGCATTCACTCAAATTACAATGTTTTTGTAGATAATTCTTGAATTTCTTCCAATCCTCCTCTATCCTCTCTTCTCCCAGGTCACGGATTCTGCCGGTCATTTCAGCCAGTTCCATGTAGTCTATCAGTTGCATCTGCCATTCTTCCAGTGTGGGTAGATCTTGAGTTTTCCAGTATTTTGCGAGAAGTATCCTTGCTGCTGTTGTTGCATACATAAAAAATGTCTGGTCCGTCCTTGCCACCCCTTGGCCGACAATACCCAAAAGGAAAGCCTCTGGTTTCTTAGTGAAGGTATATTTAAATACCTTTTTCAATTCATTATAAATCATTTCCCAGAACGCCTTCACTTTAGGGCAAGTCCACCAGAGGTGGAAAAACGTTCCCTCACACTCTTTGCATTTCCAACACTTATTGTCAGACAGGTGGTAAATTTTTGCAAGTTTGACTGGGGTCATATACCATCTATAAATCATTTTCATTACATTCTCTTTCAAAGCGTTACATGCGGTAAATTTCAATCCATTACTCCACAACTTTTCCCAGTCCTCAAACATAATATTATACCCAATGTCCTGTGCCCACCTTATCATAGCCAATTTAACCGTTTCATCTTGTGTATTCCATTCTAACAGCAAGTTATACATCCTTGATAGTACCTTAATCTTTGGTTCTAACAATTCTGTTTCTAGTTTCGATTTCTCCACCTGGAACCCTAATTTCTTATCATTTTTAAAAACTTCTTTAATCTGAGCGTAATGTAACCAATCTCGCACTTTGTCTTTCATTTTCTCCAGACTCTGCTCTTTTATTTAAAAATAAACCATGTACTGTTAAAAAAAATATCATGGAA